GTAGGGTTACCCGGTTGTACTCTTCTAAAGAGAGTCACGTACTTTTTTTAAGGTCTTATTGTACATTTATCAAAATTATACCAATACGAATTGTCAATAAGAATTATATTCTAGAAATTTTATTTTATTAAACATCTACATTTAACGCATAAAAAATTATATCCCCTCCTATCGTTTTTTTTTTATGTTCATGTATACTCTTTTCTCGTGATTGGCTGCGTTTAGCGAAAAAAGCAGCTTTGCGATTGTTGTAAGATTTTTTAATGCGATTGGTTTATCCATTTAGATTCAGTGAGAAACTAAAAGCAAAATCGATCATATTAGAATTTTACAATAGTCGCAAAACTGCTTTTTCTGCTGAACGCAGCCATACATTCGGGTAATCCTAGCGGATCGCAGGGTGTCATCGGTCGACCGGTCGATCGATCGGCCGGCTGGCTGTCGCGAGCATTTCGCGCGATCGCGTCGATTAGACAGTAACGGCGTCAAAAGGGCGAGGTAAATATTTATCGCGAGAGGGACGATTTGAGGGGGAGGGGGGGGGGTTCGCGAGATGGACGGAGGCCCCCGAGACGCGCCGGACAGGACAGGATACGGAGAAGGCTATAATACAGTTTTGCCGCGAGGCGAACGCGGCCGACGCGGCAAGAGAGCGACTCGTCGGCCAACCGGCGTCGGTCGGTTTTGCTTGGACTCTCTCGGCGCGGTTTGCCGGATGATACCGGCGGGAAAAAGGAAGAAAGAACGAGACGGTGGACGACTACGGCGGAGAGACGTGGAGCGGTGGAACGAACGAACGAACGAACAAACGGACGGACGAACGGTGGAACCTTGGTCGTGTTACGGCGCGGGGGAAAGGAGGAAACGGCCGGTGCGTTTGATCTCAGCCGCGGGCGCCGACAAAGCGAACGTTCGTCCACTCTCCTACAACGGCGGACCGTCCCTTGGGTGCGCGCGCGCGCGAGAATCGTATCCATGTGTTGGCCGAGAAAGAGAGGAGAGCTAAACGTACGACAGAGATAGATGGATAAATAGAGAGAGGTTGAACGAGCGAGTAGTGAGCGAGAGCAAGAAAGACGCGAAGCGGAAAGAAGAGAGAGAGCGAGCGGTGCGGCAAAGGACCGCGCAAAGAGCGAGAAGGACAGAAGGAACCGGGGTGGCTGAAGCGAAAGAGAGAGAAGTCGATGAAAAGGAGGAAGATCGTATCCCGGTGATGGAAAGAGGGTTCGAGGGGGCACGAGGGATCCGTTCCACGATTCATCGTGTTGTTGCGCTCGCTCTAGCATGGCGTTCCGCCACGCCACTCCCTCGTGGCGGTGCGGTGGACCCACACACACACACACGCGCGCGCGCGCGCGCGCGCACGCACACCACACACGCGCACACACACACACACACCACACATGCACACACGCGTGCGTGCACGCGCGCATCATCGGGTTTGCTATTAATAAATAATGCTCTCTGTAGTCCGCATTACAACTAAGATTCCTTCCCACACCATCGTCATACAGTTGTGTTGTCGTCGCGGGGATGTATTCTCGATTTCGAATACTCGACCGCTCGTGAACTCCGTTCTCTCCTTCTGTCCCATTCCGTCCCATTCTAATCCCCGACCGACACGATGGACATGCGGTCTGTCGGTCTTGTCACATCGCGGAGGGACGCATTGATGTTCACGGCCTCTTTTCCCCATGTGTCGGATCTATGCGTGTGAGCGCGTTTCGTGGGATCGCCACGAAGGAGAAACGCGTCAATTATTTCGAGAAAAAGTTACACCGGAGAAAACAGAGATAAAGAGAAACGAATTCCCCGAGATTCAGCAGCGATGACGTTTGTAACCTGATGAGAACTTCCTTCTTTTCACGATATTACTGAATCCATAATGACACGTAGTTGATTCGTCTTTAATAGTATCAGGTAATTGCACATTAAACGATGTAATGCCATTTTAATGTATTTGCGTATGCATTAAAATTGCATTATCGCGTCCTTTATTCTCTACCCGTTTTCTCATAAAGTTGTTATTTGAAAAATATCGCAGAAACAGATAAATTCAAATAATAAAAGCAAATGACACAAATGACATTCGAGTAAAAACATTGAGTGTCAAAGCTGACCAAATATTCAATCTTTGTATATTCTCTATTCGATATTAGAAAACCTATTCTTTTTAGCTCAACTTCTTGCACTTTATTTTTTTTTCTTTTTCTTTTTACGTTGAAGAGAAAACGTCATTGTATCATCTGATATTATAACAACCTTCAGTATTTGCAGTTTTTCAAACTATAAAGTGTGAAACTTATATTTTATTATACTATAATTGATAGTATCCGCTTAATTTATTATTTTACTTTATTATAATTGATAGTATCCGCTTAATTATTGCCTAGATAGAGCGTCGCGTAATTATACGCATTTAATTTGCGGACGCAAAAATAATCGAATTACAAAATTCCCCGACGATCGATAACCCGCGGACGATAGCCAAATAACGTGGAACATAAATGATAAGGGAATGCCTTTGAAGTCCCCGGTTTCCGCGCCCAATAAACCGACAAAAGCAACCGCAGCGTATTATAAATTACGGTATTCATTAGGAAGGCAATAGTTGCGCGCGGTAATAAGAGAGGCATTAAGCCCAAGAGGCCCGCTGTATATATGTCTACGTGGTACGTATCAAAACAAAGAAGAAAAAGGAAGGAAAAAAATGAGAGAACGTCGAATTAACGCGAATGATTCGAGCGCGGCTTCCTCGAAAGTAATCGGGATCGGCGATAGAGAGCCTGCGATAGCGCGGCGAAAAGTCCAAGAAGCATATTTCTTTACGGCGACACCGAGACATCGTGGTGCTCGACCGACCACACTCCACGACGAAGAGTGTTTTCGTTCATTGAGGACCTTATGTTCGTTTTACTCCGGCCGCGGAACACGACCGTGGTCGATTGGACCGTTGCCCGGTCGAAGAAGAAAAATAGAACGGCGAGAGAAAAAGAAGCGAACGGTATTCGTGGAAGATTTTTCTAAATGCGATCGCGATAAAAACACAGAGCTCTTGGAATTATCGAGCGCTTTAATGCGAAGAGGGGGGTACGTATTCGCTGTAAAACGCCAACTGATTCATCACCTTTGGCACGTATATTGATTAAAGAAACGTAATATGGATATACCGATAGATAAACGAGAATCTTCGAGAGTTGATATTTTTGAAATATTAAATTATTTATTTTTTAGAAAATTTTGTAGTTTATAGATATAATTGGGACTTGAAGATAAATGATTTTAAAAGATTGAACATTTGACTTTTAAACTGATAAAATTTGTTAAATTCAACGAAAACACGGTAAATAATTGTATGTTCGGAATCTCTTTTCCATAATACGTTTAATTTTTTCTCTGTCAAAGAACGCTGTTTGTGACACGTTACGATAATTCTAGTGGTTCCATCTGACGGTTGGATTTGTAATCCGGTATGCCGACATACAGTTACGTGCAGGTTGGATGTTTACGCGTAAAAAATAAAAAATTTTCGTATTGTGTCAATTAGAAAGAAAAATATAATAATTGTATAAGATTACAAATTTTTAATTCAATAATGGAAATATGTTACTTATTTAAATGCAACGTTTACAAGATATGTCTTTGCAAAAAATTCATGGAATTATACTTGTACATATATAGTACAAATATGACGTAATCGTAATTTCCTTAAGATTAACAGCGTTTTCATTAAAATCATTATGCGTTACTAATAACAAAGCTTACAAGGAAACCGTCGGATTGCCCCTCACCGATTTCGCTGGACTTTAGATGTGTTGCGGAGCACAAAAAATATTAAATCCAATATTTCCTTGTTAGATCGTAAAACATTATTTTGAAATTACATAAGTCTATCTACTAAAATCCACAATTCGATGAATACGCAAATATTGGCTGTGTTCAGTAGAAAAAGTAGCTTTGCAACTGTTGTAAAATTCTTGAATATGAATTGATTCGTACAATATATTTAGATTCAATGAGGAACTAACCCAGGCAGCACAGAATATTTATGATAAATATTTATTAATATTCATTGTTTGAAATATTATATAGATATTTTATACATATTTTATATAAAGTTTTCGAAATATTAAAATACATAGACTAAACATTTTATGTAATATTTATGATAAATATAAATAAATATTTCTAAAATATTTTTTACTTGAATTATAATGTCTCATTAAATATTTTCATAGCACTTACTACAACATTTACAATAAATATTTCATAATATTTTAATAAATGTTTATGATCTGTACAATCTAAGATGACAAAAATATTTAGAAAATATTTAAAATAAATCTTATAAATATTTATAAATATTTTATAAATATTGTGTGCTGTCTGGGAAGAGCAAGACCAATCGTATTAAAAAATTTTACAACAGTTGCAAAGCTACTTTTTCTGCTGAACGCAGCCATTGAATACGGTGCGAAGCGAGGAAATCATTTGTTTTGTAGAGCTGGAAAAAAGAGCGGCGTAGCCATTGCGACATTTATTGACCTTTCATACACTGGACGTATATACCGTATATACGTGATGGCGGCGTGCGGCGTGGCGATGAACCGTGACATAAATTACAATAATTCCGCGTCAGCCGCCGGCTCACGGCGTCCTGTAATTCGTTGCTTAATGATAGCGGCAGCCGTCGAAGCGATTCGCGTAATTTCGCGATACCGGTTCGTTCAAAACTCTAAACCGGTATTACGACAACGAATTGCCTTGAGAAAGAAATAGAGAGGGAGAAGGAAGAGAAGAAGATCCTAATCGATTTTAATAATGCGAATCGCTTCTTGTGTATTATTTATACAAATTGTGCAAATATAATGCGTCATATCTGCCGACGTCATTCATGAATCAAAATCTCCGTTTCACCTACAGTTGATTGTGTTAATAGAATTCAATTGGACACCGGATGAGCAGAGGTTGCGTGTCAATAAATCGCTATATAAGGAAAGGACGCTGCGATGACGGCTTATTAGCTAAGTGCAGTTTTTCTGCGTTAATGATCGTGGCTTCTGGCTCTTCTTCAGATACTATCAGCAGTATTACTGTAAGTCTCTAAAGTGAAGTTACGATCAATCCACGGATTTAAAAAACTGTTTTGTCGATTAAATTGTGTAATTAAAAATATTGTATATTTTTTAATTTTTGTTCTTGATGCAAATTTAAAAATTTGTTAAAGTTTATACATTTGTAGTTTAAAGTGTAATTTATGTTAAAAGTGTAATTTACATAATCTATAATTTATGTAAAATCTATCCGCTATCTACGTGATAATATTTTTCGCAATAATAAGTCTTTTTCAATGTTTCAAGTTACTTATATTGGCAATATTATTAAATTGACGATCAATTTAATTTGTGACGTTATTATTTTAGCATCAGTTAATGATTGCATCCCAAAACTGATAGTAAACGGAACGCAATCTGTATAAATAAAAAGTGTATTTATAATTTATATATAATTATTATTAAACATCAAGATCTAAGTTTTAATTATATTGGTCATTTCTTTACTTATTTGATTTATTTCCTGTAAACAATAGAAAATGAAGATACTATTGGTCGCTGTTGCATTGCTCATAGCCATCGAAATTGAAGCTCATTCGGAATGGTCGCCTTACCCTGGCTTTCAAGATCAAAGAGGAAACAATCCTGGCCGCGGATGGGGATATCCACAACGAATTGAGCAGCAAAACAATAAATTTACTGACATCGAATGGGTATGCCAAAACCCAAAGACAAACGACATGGTATGTACTTATACAAGAATCGCAACAATTTTGAAATCCTCAAATATAGATATTTTTGTAAAGAATCAATCTTTTATGTAATAGTAAAACTTTTCGAGTAATTATAATCATCTATATGTATATACCAGTAATAATTTTCCAAGATTAAAAAAATTTTTTCGCACAAATTTTAGTTGTCAACAAATTAAAGAGCGAAAAAATTTATATAGCATTTGTAATTTTTATGTCGCGATGTTCATTTTAACTTTAAAATATTTCGAAGGTCGATTCTCAAATGAGGTATTTAACGAATTGAATAAATTCGGTCGACTATTTTTTCGCTCTTTAATTTGTAGACGACTAAAATTTGTGCGAAAAAATTTTATATAAGTTATATAATACATGTTCTTATAAAATGCAAATATATAAGTTGAAATACATTTCGTGTTTTGTAGATGATTATTGCTTCCGACGACACACGACATACACCGCAACAAAATTCTGATAGGGAATCGTGGTGGCAGTGGCATAATGTTCCACCAGGGCACCAATGGCAGCATCATCAACATGGAAATCGTTGGAACAAACCAATCATTATCATTCAAGAAACTCCAAACACTGATAACAATTATACACCACTTCCGACAACACCGGAAACTCCTAATAACGTCGATGAACAAACGAATTCTCCGCCTTATCATGGTGGAGAAGGTTCTATCGATATTAGAGTCGGGCCAACAGAATAATCTATTTTTATACTTTTTATTTAATTAAATTGACATATATATAATGCATACTATGATATATATATATGTATATATATACAATTAAATAGTATGATTATTCAACTTTTCATGAATCTCTTAAATTGTTTCTTGTTCATTGTTTATGTTTAAATAATGTCATAATTATCGATTTTCTACAGAAGCTACGCTGTGTTATACATTAATTTTTAATGTTAAATAATTAATTAGTTGTTAAAAAAAGTCAATAAATATTAGAAAAATATAATATTAAGAGAGATAGCTTATTGTAATTAGTTCTTAACATGTAGATATAAGAAGAAACATTGTTTATACATATGTACATATATACTTTTTTATGTAGGTCACAGATTGTAACTTGAAAAATTTTGAATAATTATATTTAGATATCTATATATTATATGTTAAGTATGATAACGTTCCATTGTTTGCAATAAAAATTTTTTAACACGTTACTATGTATTATGCTTTAGTCCCGAAAAAACGCAGGTGGTAGTAGACTGTAGCACAGATTTTTTGCATAACACATAATTAATAAAAAAATTCAAATAAAAAAATCAACCAATTAGAATTCATCATTTCCTTTCTTTTCATAAAATAGAAAACTTAGATTGGTTGATTTTTTTATGCTTTATCATGCGTTATGTAAAGGTGCTCTGGCCTTAATCGACTATGATTGCAAGTCTGGTCGACTTGTAATCAACAGGGTTGGGCATGTGTTAAACATAATGTAACATATATGGTTTTTATTCGGTTTTTATATATATAATACCATGTATTATACGTACTTTTTGTAGGTTTTATACATATTATACGTATTATACAAACTATTATACACACGTAAGTAAATGTAAGAAACTATCGCAGTTCTAAATTGCCCAACTCTAATCAGTATTGTCGGTAGTATGATATATAGGCTTTAGGGAGACTCACGCCTTCAGAAACCAGAAAGAGCAGAAAAGCAGAAGCCAATTATAGAACTCACACTGATAGTAGACATTCTTCTATTTTCTTTCCAACTCGAGTCTTGATTGGCTTCTATTTTCCTGCTTTCTGCTTTCTTGTCAAGGTGTGAACTGTCCTTTAAGCTTTTACTGTATGGCACTGAAAATCTATAGGTTACGTTACGTGTATTATACATTTTCAGCACTGACAGTGAATTTGGAACACAGCCTATATCTGTGTTTCGGGAGAACGCAGTATATATTATTCTAAATCTAAATATAATAGAAGACGATCCTTTATAGTTTACAAGTTTACACTTTATTATTTCCATTGTAAACGGCTCTTTAAGTACTGATGCTTGTATTTTTACACGATTGTAGACATTGCAAAATTTGCATATTTGCAGTGCATTGCCAGTGATTGCCAGTATTGGATCAGTATTGGATGTATTTTCTGTCTCTGGTGTTGGGTCACAAGTAGTGCTGAACAGTGTTAGTTTATCTCAGTTTATCCGCGAATGCGAAAATATGGCAAGTTCGTCACGGTAAGCTTCACGAAAAATGAATATTACTTTCGAATGTTGATTATCGAAAAGGTAACAATCGTCACGAATCACGTTTAATATTTATCTTATTATCGCAACTAAAGTAAGGTTAAGATTGCATATAATTATATAGTTTTATTTACTATTTAGAGAACACTTCATTAATTAGGAATAAATTAATCGTCACAGGGTTAATCCGTGATACAAATATAACCTTAACAGTTAAATCAAAATTAACGATCGTAAAATTATGTTAAGCTTCGATATAATGTTAACAATTAGAAATAAAAGAATGAACGATTTATTTGTCTGTTGACATTGGCAGAAACATATTATAGATTTGTTTAAACATAAGATTTATCTAAGTAATGCCAAATGTACGAATTCATCGTAACAGTAAAATATTTATTCTTACAGGAATGCTACAAACAAGGTTTGTTGTTACGCACATCCAGATGCTCCACTTATAGAAGATTATAGGGCAGGAGATCAGATTTGTTCAGAATGTGGATTAGTTGTGGGGGACAGGTAAAACAGTCACAGATACAAGTATAAAGATAGATCTTCAATAAATTTTACACATTCATACATTTTTTATGTCTTAATAGAGTGATAGATGTAGGTTCAGAATGGAGGACGTTCAGCAATGAAAAATCAGGAGTGGATCCATCACGTGTTGGTGGTCCAGAGAATCCACTCCTCAACAGTGCAGACTTGTCTACAATGATAGGACCAGGAACAGGAGCCGCGTCTTTTGATGGCTTTGGTACCGCCAAGTATCAAAATCGACGTACAGTTAGTACTCAATTTCTTATTACTTTATATAATAAAGTCATTGCTGAAAAAAAAATTTTTTTTAGATGAGTAGTTCTGATAGAACTCTACTTAATGCGTTTCGCGAGATTAATGGTATGGCAGATCGTATTAATTTACCGAAAACTATTGTGGACAGAGCCAATACGTTGTTCAAGCAAGTGCACGATGGCAAAAATCTGAAAGGTCGTGCAAACGATGCAATTGCTTCTGCATGTTTGTACATTGCCTGTCGACAGGAAGGGGTGCCACGTACATTTAAAGAGATTTGTGCAGTCAGCAAGATAAGCAAGAAAGAAATTGGTCGATGCTTTAAGTTGATTCTCAAAGCTCTTGAAACAAGTGTGGATCTTATTACCACTGGTGATTTCATGTCTCGATTCTGTTCCAATCTTGGCCTTCCCAATATGGTACAAAGAGCCGCCACACATATTGCTAGGAAAGCCGTGGAAATTGACATTGTACCTGGAAGATCGCCCATCTCTGTCGCCGCTGCGGCAATTTATATGGCATCACAGGTATGCAAAATTATGGCGACACTACATTCTATAATTAAACAGGCACTATTTTATTTTTATGTATTTTTACCTTACACAGGCGTCGGAGGACAAGAGGTCACAGAAGGAGATTGGAGACACCGCTGGTGTTGCAGATGTCACAATCCGACAATCCTACAAATTGATGTACCCGCATGCAAGCCAGCTCTTCCCGGAAGATTTCCGATTTGCCACACCGATCGATCAGTTACCACAAATGTAAAGCCAAGAAAAAGCTTTACTTTCTTCTTCCGAAATATATTGACCGTTTTAAATAAATATCTGTTTTCCATCACAAGCATAATCGAACACGTATAATTCAATATTTTATTTTTATCGGCAGGGTACATTCCTGAATAATTTATACGATTCAATATTCTTTGCTTTACTGCAAGTATATAGTGGTATGTTAACATTTTTCTTTTTCTCTTTTTATTTTATTTTATTCTGATTGTATTTTTCGAAGACATGGTGCTTAGGTGAAATATATTTAACATTCATATTCCATTATATTTTATACTTTATAAAAATTGCATCATGTAATTTATACTTCTTCTACGTAACGTACAACTCAACTTTCCGTTATTTCCTTCTGTTTGTAAGTTTATAATTTGTAACACGAGGAGAAGCCCTTTCAATTTTGCACAGTTGTAACTGATAAAACAATTTTTTTTCAATTGCACTATTAGAAAACAACAATTCTTCTAAGAGGGCCTTATGTTATTTGAAATACATGCGTATATATAAGATATATATATATATATATATATATATATGTATATATATATACATATAAGTTTATAGTTGAGATATAATTGTATAATTAATAATAGTTATATATTAATTATATAAATATACAATTTTCTATAAATTGTACAATTTTTTATGTATATATAATTGATATATGAACTTAATTAATATTTATAACACCTATATTAACATAAAAGTTTAGAAAAGATATTAAGGGAATCTATACAAAAGAAGGGAACATGAACCTATGTATACGTATATATGATGATGTGCTAAATTCTACATTTTCTACAAAATTCTTATATCTCTTTGATAAACTTGGTAATATTATTGATGATCCGAAGTTAATTTTTGGAGAAACGCAATTGTAAGTTCTACGAAATGAAATATTGTACAATAAAAATAAGGTTGTATAAAATTTGTTCTGTGATATTTGAAAAATGAAAGAAGGAGTAACACTACTGTAACTGTCTATAATTCCCCAATTTATATCCAATGCGCGATTTTTTAACATAAACTTTTAACATATTAAAGTATATCAACTGATTATGTGTTGCATTACGTATTAATCTCTTTGTTTTTAAGACAATAATAAGTTTAAATTTGGATTATTGGCTTTCAAGATACTATTTTTTTATTGATAAGCAATTTTTTAATAAAATAATTCTAGGAATTAGATTCGATTTTTATTATTCCTCCAACAGGCATTTCTTTTCGATTAATAGAAATTCTTTATGAAAATATTTTGCGATTTTGCAAAGCTGTTCTAATGCCGATAGATAAAACGCAAATATACACAATACATTTCCTTGACACATGAACTGTATTTTCTTGCTGCAGGAAATTATAAATGTATAGTACAAAAAATGTAACTGGAGACGGATTTTCATTTTCTATATATATCTTTTTTTGTTCCTCCTTTTTTTTCCTCTTAAATTCTATTTCAAAGCATAACTGGAATGATAGTTTTACATGTGATTTCCTCTGCACCAAAATTTTACTCGGGAAATCCGTTGCATGCTTATTTTAATATCTGAATAAGAACTTGTTTACGCGCTTTTTGTCCTCCATGTGACATACTTGACTAAAATGACTTTCATGTAGTCACGTGACCTGGCAAGTATGAGCTATGGTGCGTTCCGTATCGCGCATGATGTGCATGATGCATCCATTGTCTTTGTTTAACATTTGGTGAGCAACAAGGATAAACGACGCATTATGCACATTATGCGAGAAACGGAACGCACCCCTAGAGGGACAGAGAAGTGCGAGGGGAAACTGGGGACTGGGGAGACTTTTGTTTACGTTTTAGAGGGAAGGAAGTGACTATTGGAATAAAGAAAAATTTAGAATAAAGAAGTCTTGTGTACAAAATAATTGAATCTGACACGATTAAATTATAATAATAGGAGGGAACCTGCAAAAGAGAAAAATTGTAATAAAGAATTCATGTTCCAAAATAAATAAAAAATCTTTTAATTTAAGTGGACTGGTAAGTTTTTCGGCTGTATTTTTTTCATTTATATCAATACAGATATATTATATATCTCCAAGAGAGAAGAGACTTAATTGAGAAAAGTTAACCTTAATCTCAGAATAAAAATCTTTTTGGTTAATAAGAACAAATACAAAAAAATTAAGTTCATAAATCTAAAGTATTTAATTTATACAAGTATCTAATGCTGCTCTAGCAAAGTATATATAGAATTTTATATTGTTGAATAACAATTTTTCGTTTTGTAGCTCATTATTATAAAATGAATATAACGCCTCCTATCAAACCACCACGAGGGATCAAACCAACAAAAGAAACGGCAAGTAAATCTTATAATTATGGAAAACTTCTCTTATTTTGAATTATATCAGAATAAGATGTCATGTGTCTTGCATGACTTATAGAGTGGTTTGCTGATCTCAGTCATTCGTGCTTTATCAGCGAGTGAAACAAATGAACAACGTGAGATTGAGAAAGCTAAGTTGGAAAAGGAATACAAACGAAGTGATCAACGACTGGAAGAATTGGTTTCATTACATGACCAAGATCTCATGGAAGTTATGCAGGTATATATGAACATGTATATTTGAATTTAATAAGAAAGTTGGAACTTATTGTATGTATATATTGTGTTATATATTTTTTTAGATATTCAGTGAACTATCTGAAAAAGTTACATCAGCACGAGAAAAGATTCATGCAGTAAAGGAGAATCTGAATGCCTGTAAACAATTATTGAGATGTAAACGAGAGGAGTTATTGAATTTATGGCTGGAAGGAATAGAACATAAACAAGTCTTACATCTTCTAAAAGATGTGTAAGTTATATTTACATATCACTGCGTTGATAGAAAAGTGATACATTAAAATTAGCAACTTTTCAGTAGATTATTAAGAAATTCTGAATATACATATATTTGATCAAGAGATATCTGTATATCGATACGTATTTGAGATTTTAAAAATGTGTTTTCAATTGTTAATTGAATATAAATTAATTTTTTTAGGACTTCAGATTCATATGGACGTATGATAACAGGTTTAACTGAGCCTGAGCTATTACCATCCAATATATCACATGATACTTCTAATTATAAATTTATAGTTTCTCACATAACATTAAATAAATGTAGAATCATAAAATAATTTTTAAGTACAAGTTTTTATGTTACGTAAATTAAAATAAAAGAAATTGTATGTACACATTACATTATAGTTAATAAAGTTATAATTCATATTTCCTTCCACGTTATTCAACAGCAAAATATATTTGAGAATTAAAATTTTCGCTTGAAGTTTATTAATTCATGTAAAACTAAAATTTTAAAAGTTTTTAAATTATAATTTTTGAAATTTTAAATGTTTCTTATTTTATAATTTTCCTAATATATTTAATTTTCTTAATATTCTCCTAATAGTATGTAAATTTTTAAGAATTTAAATATTTACGTTTTACAGAAATATTTGCCTTATTTCATAAATCCTTAAACTTCTTGGAATTTCAGTTAATGTTTTATTTTATTATATTTTTTTGATGTGTGTGTGTGTGATGCATGTTTTAAGAAATTAAATTTTCGCGGTTTACAAAATCGATTAAATAATTAATTAGCTACTGTCAATAAAGTCATCAGCTTCTTTACCGACCGATTAGAAAAATATTTAAACAATTAAAAATTTAGAATCGCCAAAAATTTAAATAATCTAAAAAATTTAATAAATATTAAGAAAACAATATCTGTTATAATATACTTAATAATTACTGAATATCGTAAATGTACAATTTACAATATTTTAAAATTGCAAAAATTATCATTATATTATTCATAAATAATAATACATATGATCCGACACAGCCATAATGTATGAATATTTAGATATGACGCTGATGTGTATCTAATTATAGTGTAACTTAACATGTGAAATGAAATATCCAACATTCAAGTTCAACACATACGAAGTATCAATGCTATAGAAAGGTGGCGTTTCTGTTATTTTCGTAAATTGCGAATCAGCTGATAACGTATAACACGAATGTCTAAAGGACGATCACGAATATACATATGACTCTGAGTGATTCCGACCATTCCAACTTCTTCTGTGTTCATGAGCGGTACATTTGGCAGGACGCGTGTCCTTCAACAAACAGTTTTTTAATTATTTCGTTTTCTTTATATATCGGATGATTAATTATTTTGTACAAAAAGATACGTGTAATTGATATAGCACGATTAATACAGACGTGATATTCAACAAGTTTAATCAATTTAATAAAAATGACCAGCCAAAAAACAGTACCGAACGGTGTAAAGTTCCTCATTGGTGGGACATCTGGGTTTGTGTGCTTTTTTTTATGTTTACTCTGGACATGTGACATCTCAGAAAATATGTTTACGTTGTTTGATAATTATAAGAGAATTTCCTAATCATTGAGCTAGAGTTCAAAGATCAAGATTACGTACGTTTTATCAAAATTACTTCTTGCAAATTACATAACTGACATTGTTAGTAATTGAAAATAGAAGAAAAAAGATGAATTTAAATTTTTCAAGATGATGCAATCTGTTTGTATATATTAATGTATATATCTTATTAGCATACTATAAATAGAGGTGTAACCCTGGATAAATTAATATAGCTTCTCTTATAACCAATGGCGCCATTAAAATCTTAATTTTTAATAATTTATAGAAAATTGTACAAAAAATAATATAATCTATATTATATTAAACTTTACATGTTATTTCAATTATTTTATAAATTAACTGATTTTATTTAATTTTTAGAAAATAAAAATATAAATTAATGTGGTTTAATCTTCTTTAAATTTATACAATAATAAAATTTTATCAAAATATGTCCTGATTATTAACTTTTATTAAATATTAACTCTTATATGTATTATAAAATTTAATTGCTTAGACTAAAGTTGTAATTTCATCACAATTGCGTGCAATGCATTAAGACAGTACAGTCTGTGATAATTACATGAAAACATTCATTAGTTAGCTCGTTTGAGTGCCAAAGCAAATCTATTGTACTAATTGTGAGAAAAATTTATTGTATTTGGATTGTAGAAAAAGCAGAATAAAGAAAAGAAAAAGAAAGAGATAGAATTATCTGATAAATTATCTGTTAAAAATTACCTAATAAATTTGGAATTTATATTTTTATCTAAGAGATAATCGATAAAGGACATATATATATATATTTAATTACAGTATGGCAGCAACATGTTTTGTACAACCATTGGATTTAATAAAAAATCGCATGCAATTAAGTGGCACAAAAACATCGACGTTAAGTGTTACATCATCAATTCTGAAAAATGAAGGCGTTTTAGCATTATACTCAGGCTTATCTGCCGGTTTAATGCGACAGGCTACATATACCACTACTAGACTTGGTATATATACTTGGCTTATGGAAGTTTCTTCGTAAGTTAACTTTGTATATAAGATTTTACAATTATATAAGAATTGAAGTAAATTTATATCAAGTATATTGGCTTGATTTAGAAAAGAAACGCAACCAAGTTTCATTGTAAAAGCAGTACTTGGTATGGCGGCTGGTTGTGTCGGAGCATTTGTAGGTACACCCGCTGAAGTAGCTTTAATTAGGATGACAGCAGATGGAAGATTACCTATTGGTACATTTTTAATTTTTTCCATACAATAAGATTATTACTTTGTATATGTTACTAGTTTAGTATACATATCCACGTACAAATTATAGAATTTAAACATTTTAAATGCAGCTGATAGACGCAATTACAAAAATGTGTTCGATGCATTATTCCGTATAATTAGAGAGGAAGGTCTCTTTACGTTATGGCGTGGCGCCATTCCTACTATGGGACGAGCTATGGTTGTAAACGCAGCACAATTGGCATCATACTCTCAGGCAAAACAAGCATTGCTAGATACAGGTTTGTAGACACATTGCATCATTATTAGATTCTTTAAAGTTATATAAATGACACTACAATGGTTACATTTGTTTTATATCGTATTCTTTTTTTCTTTTAAAATAGGGTATTTTGAGGAAAATATAGTATTACATTTTGCAAGTTCCATGATTTCTGGTTTAGTTACCACTGCCGCCTCTATGCCTGTAGATATAGCTAAAACAAGGTATTACGCGATAAGTTCATGATATCGTTTGAAATTCAATTAACATGTGATTCTTAACATGTGATTCACATGTTTAATGATCTTTTTTTCAGAATTCAAAACATGAAAACAATAAATGGCAAACCAGAATTTACAGGCGCAATTGATGTCCTGACCAAAGTTATAAGGAACGAAGGATTGTTTGCATTGTGGAAAGGATTCTTCCCATATTACGCACGTCTAGGGCCTCATACAGTCTTAACATTCATTTTTCTTGAGCAAATGACTGCTGGTTATAAAACATACTTGGCATAATAATTGCAATTGTACGCGATTGCAAAAAGTTATCAATGATTTAAGGCTTCAAAATCTTGTTTCCTTTTTGCTTTACCAATGCTTTCGTATATTTTCAAAAGCATTATTTTAATAATAAACCCATTTTCTAGCATATATACTGTAGAATATTACGCACACAATTGCAATATCATTTTGTATAAATATATATAGAATTCATAATTTGTCATGTAATACAGATTTTTATAGCGGCTTTTATGAAATTTGTCGGTTCTAAAATTGTTAATTTCTGAAAAGTATATCTTCATATTTTAATTGAAGAATGGCACAAACATAAATTTCCATCTCAGTGTAAGTATATATAGTTTATGCATTTTTTATTTTCTGCCATATGAAATTATATATATGCGATGTATTAAGATATTTTGCTATTGTTTTGTAGACAGAGGAAGATATATATTATATTCTGTGAATATGTATGAATACAGAGTTCGTCTGGTACGAACTTAGTCTTGTATAGGCATGCCATTTGATTCAGCCATTTAGTTGTTATTTTCAATGTTATTTTATATAAAATTTGTTTTAATGGATGTATATTTTGGATATATAAATTATAATGAGAGCCGGTATTGTTACTAGAGATATGAAAGTTGGACAAATATACTAAAATAGTGTGCATTAAAGTGTATTCAAAGTAATGTGTTTAAATGTATTAAATATATATAAATGCAAAAAAAAATCGTACAATAACATTGTATCAATAATATTGTACTAAAATAACAAAGATTTAGCAATAAAAACTATATTTTGATTGTTTACTACGTTTTATTTCTAACAAGGAAAGCTCGGCGAGTGTAAAATAAAAAAAAATCTGAAACACACACACTGTGCATGAATTTGGAATAGATGGACCTAATCACGAAAAAAATTATTTTAGCTGCTGAAATTTGGTTTTAGAGGTGCAACGTTCTTTTGAATAAAATCGATTTTTACATTTATAAGCGAATCTCGGAAACAATTGGAAATGCGAAACAATGTTAAATTTTTCAAAATACCCCTACCATTAATCCCTTTTTCTTAAATAAAAAATTTTTTATACAAGTGTTTTCAGCTTATTTCTCAAAAACATGTTTACGGAACACAACTTTATCATATGGTTAAATTAGCATAAAAAAACTGTTTAGTTACAAAAATATTTGAAAATTAGGTCCTAGGTATTCTAAATTCATGCAAAGATTTCAGATTTTTTGAATTTACATTTGCTGAACTTCCTTTGTAAGATAAAACAAAGTATTTTATCAACGAAACTTTAACGATTAAAAATAAGACAATTTAATATAAAAAAAATTTTTTAATTTTAAAATTACATTTCAACATAATTATGTTTATCTGGCGCGAGAATGATTATTTTCCAGTAATTATCGCGTGATCAAAATTTATACGAACTCAGAATTGTGAAATCTACAGTTTCGCCTTATTGTACCTTGAACTTAATTTCTTTATTACGTTATAAATTTTTGCGACGAAAATTGTTGACAAAACGATAATGCGATAGTGCAACAAGTGTCATGAAATCGACGCTGGAGCTCAAGGACTTTGACTTAATTTGCATATACATATAAAACGGAGCAAATGTGACGGTCAAATATTGATTTAAAAAATGCCGGATATAATTTTAAGTACCTCGTCATGTTGCAGCGTGACTAGCGAGACAGATGACGGAAGCCTTGCACCAAAGCATAGAGAATGGACTGCGCGATCCGTACTAAGTAGTGTATCAAATGTGGTCGACAATAATGAGAGAGAGGGACCGTGGGAGACGGC